ACCGAGCATTTTGCCAGTAGCTGCGGCTCCCATCTGCTTCCTGTACCCCCATCAAGTAATAGTAGTGTTTAAGGCCAACACTCTCCCATAGATCACATTTTCTTTTCCTTCTGTTTCTTTCTTGTTGTCGTCTTTTCACATTAAGGTTGGTGCCCTGCCTGTACGTAAAGCACTGCCTTGGAGCAGCTCAAGAAGCATATGAGCAGGGCTTGTAGCCCTTGTATTGGAAGGTGGCGAAACTTGATCGGTATTGCGCTGTAGGGAGGCAGGGCTTCTGAGCCCTACCTAAGCGGGTGAAAGTCGCGCTTAATATTTTTCCTGGGAAGATCAGCATTCAATCTATGTCAATGATTGTTCTCAACTTTTTTTGTCAAAAAAATTGAGCACAAAAATTGCAGAAGTGGGTGAGCTCAAAATTTTGTCTGTCTGCGGTTGGTACCCCGACCCACCTTTCAGCCAGCCCGCGATGCACATTAAAAATGCATCAAGTCGTGGTGTTTTAAGGATGTGATTGTAATACTCTTTTTTGATTTCTCACAAGGTGTTGGCACAGTCACCCAATGGACATCCGCCAATTCTAATACTCTCTTTTGATTTTCCCCTCCTCGCTATGTCGTATTGCCACTGTGGAGCATGAGATCTCTTTGCTGGACTTCCACAGTCTAGTTTTTGCTTGTTTCTTTGTTTGCCCATCAAGCTTATGATCAGCTGGGACATACATGCTTGTTGGAATTGACAAGATGCATGTATTCGTGTGTTTGTGGATGTTGTGTGCTTGGTGGCACCACTTGCAGCTTTTACCAGAGAGAGAGTCGTGGGAATTCTTCTCTCGCACATTGCCTGCTATGGCTGGCTTGGCATTAAGGCTACCTGAATTTCTAGGGACTAAGATGTGCCAAACACAAAGGCCGGCAACGGGAGCTGCAGCTCAAGGGTCAGCTTCTGCTTCAGGCAATAGCAGATCTTCAAGTCATTCACTATGTCTGCGGCTCGTCTTGCAGCAGCAACCAGGGATGGTAGTCATTCACCAGGTAAGGGAGGTTTGGAGGGTGGGGGATGCACGTTTGGGTGGGTGTAGTAGGAGGGGGTGGGGGGGGTTAAGTGCGCTTGTGTGCTTCATGTTTGGTACTGAAAGACACCCTAATGCTTCTGATATGCTTTGCCAAAATCCCGAACATGGGGTTACATGGGCCCTGATACAAGAACCCACATCATCCCTACGTGAGCCCAGTCAGAACCCTCTTGCAAAAACTCAATCTTCATCCTTTTTGTAATGACTGGAACCGTTGTAAAGATGAATTCATTTGCGCTACATGGTTGTGGAAGCCTTCGTTCTGAACTGGAGCTGAAATTGTTTGTCGTTCCTTTGTGCTAGGAACTTCTTGCAGCTCTTCTTGTTTGTGCCTTTCTCTGCGTGTTCCCTGCAAGAGGAAGAGACAAGTATATCCTTCCAGAGATAAACTTCAACCGCTTATTCGGGTATGTGAACAACATGTCGCTCGCTGATTGATTGGCTTCCCAACCCAATGCATGTTGATCCTCTGCCTCCAGCACGTTGATCTACTTCCTGTTTGGCTGTGCAATTACCCCAACCGCAGAGCAGAACCCTGAATCCTTTTGTTTATCTGGGTACTTGTCTCCTTCCCTGTTCTTGCTGTCTAATCGTGTTTCTTCATTCATTTTGCAAATCTGGTCTTCGTTGATAGATATGTGACAATATGTAAGTGCTCTAAACCTGCACTATCCTGTCTGTTTGTTTTGAAAAGCCAGAGCAGACAGACCCCTGGGCTCTTCTTTTCTTGTTGCATCCCTCACGTTCCTGAGGGGTTTCCTGATGTGTGCGACAAAACCTCTTGTCATGCGCAGTTGCTGTGTAATCCTTGATTGTGCTATTGAGCCTGCTAAATTCATAATGCAAGACTCAACATGAGCCAATGTCGTGTATCACAACTCAAGAAGAAGAGGAAATAGGCCAGGAGAGAAGAAGTGAGAGAAGAAAAAGTTGGAAGTCACAAGGTTGAACCAATGTCATCTCTCTCCTCCTCTCGGCTTTATCATTGACACGCACATAATTGCCACCTCTTTCTTTCTTATTAACAATTAAATACAAAAACAAATGATTTGAATGGACAAGATTCAATGTCCGAACAATCTCCCTGTCTGCCAGTGAAAAGAAAGAGCTCTCCTTTAGCCTCCTCTCACTCCTTTACAAAAGATTTTAATTTCACAATTACTAAGTCACTTATTTCTGCGGGATCAATGAACTTCAACATAGACCGAATAGCTCGGGAGCTTTTTCCTCTCTTTTCGACATGCTGCGGTCCCCATCGAGTTGGTCCCAATTTGGTGAGTTGGATGCTTTGAGTCACATTGCGCAGTGTCTCCTTTGCTATCGCGCCTGAGAGAACAAACAGTGCAAAGGAGCAATTCATTTGGTAGTGTCGCGGTCGTCCATAACATTAAGAAAAGCCATCGTTCAGGCAAATAAAGCTTTGATCTCTGCGGCATAACATTAAGAACAGCCATCGTTCAGGCGGACGGAAATCCGAGACTGGGCTTTTCGCAAGCGCCGAAGGTTAGCGCTAACGCCGACCAGCGCCCGGTAACTCCCAGCGATTCTACCACGGCGCTTCGCGCCGGGCAGGACGTTCACGCGGAAACTCGAACAACACTCGAATTTCGCCCGCATCTGGACGTGAAGCAGGGAAAGTTCAGCCACGCCCTCGGGCGTGGCGAGAGACAGCCATAGCCAGTGGAAACAACTATCCACCGCCATCATTGTCTGCATCTCAACCATCCACACTGGACAAGACTCAAACACCAACTCGGCAAGGGAGAGGAGAACACTCGAAAGGACGCATAATTTCGTGAGCGGGATCAGGAAGAGGAGGTGGCCAAAAAAGGAGGCGAGAAGGGAGAAGAGACAAATGCGAATAATGAGAGAGAAAAAGAGAGGAAGGTGAGTGGCCTTAAAACAAGAAGCAGACTATTTCAGTCAAGTGAAGAAGGAGGACAACGCAGACAGTTCGCGAAATCGTCCGATTCAGAAGAGTCAGAAGGCCACAGCGAGTGTCAACGTCCCCAAGAACAACCAGACAAGGAAGCCAACAAGGAGAAGAGAACGGAGGGCAAGAGGTATCGAAGAGGGCTCGGGAGGAGTCGACGAAAGAGAATAAAGTAGTCGGAACGTACCTTATTGCCATCGGACGGAGTGAATCCACCACGCCCTCGGGACTGCAGCGACAAACAACCCGAATCTGATCGGGAGGAACACTCAAGTTCAGGCAGTTATCTCGTCCAAATTCTACCAGTCTCTTCCCCGATACCGTAACTGTAGCTCTCGCCTAAAGTATTCTTGGCACTGAAATACTAAACTCCCGTCCATACCACTACTCAGCCCCCATGCTATTCCAATCCGGAACCCCATCCAACTCTCTCTCCCATCCCTGTCCTGCCCCAAACCCATCTCCATTCCGACCCGGGCTTACCCCGACACTGATCCCACCAACACCCCACCCCCTGCTTCGATACCATACCCTGTTTCCATCCCGATCCCACTAAACATCCCGACCCCATCCTATTACGGTTCAAGACCCAACCTGAATCTGCTACATCCACGATCCCGTCCCATCTCCGTGCACCATCTCCCTACATCGTCCTTTCCGATCCCCGTACTATCCGTTTCTTAATTCCCTCCCCATCCCGTTATCATCATAGTCGACTTCCCTGCCCCATCCCGGTCCCTGCCTCATCTCATCCTCACTCCGCCCCGCGCCTACCCAGTCCCCGACTTCTCTCGCGACCCATCCAGCTCCCAACCCGACCCCGATCCCAGAACCGCTACCCCCAAGGCCCAGTCCCGAACCCATCCTGGGCTCGATCTGTTGCACATCCTGGTCCGATTCCCAACCCACTACTACCCTGATCTGCGCCCAACCCCTCTCTAACCCCGCGCCCGCCCCAACCGCGTTCCCCACTCGCAACTGACCCACGATCCACTCTGATTCCACGCTGCCCTAATTCACGCCCCACCTCTGTCCCGTTTTCTACTTCCTTCACACTATTATTACTATTATCATTATTATTATTATTATTATTATTATTATTATTATTACTATTATTAGTATTAATATTATTAATATTATTAGTATTAATATTATTAATATTATTATTATTATTATTATCTTTATTATTATTATTATCTTTATTATTATTACTACTATTATTCTTCACCACTAAGCTGATTCTCCCCCGCTCCCGTTCCCACCCCCGTTCTGTTCCTATCCCCGCTCCAGTCCCCACCCCCGTTTCTGTCCCCATCCCCGATCGAGACCCTATACCCGATCCCGATCCTACCTCTGACCCAGACTCCATCCGCGATCCTAATCCATTCCTATCCCCTCCCCAATCCGTGTTAGAGTTTAGATTGCGTCTCGAAGTTCTCTTTACCCCCCACCCCATCTCCGTCCGCATCCCCAGCTCATTGTGTTCGAGGGAACCCCTTTGCACCTTGATCTCTGCCAAATCTTCCAAAAGCTGCTCCCGTCAGGGAAGGCCTATTAGTCCGAAGTCCAGTGCTTGCCTGCCCTCTCGTTAGTCCAATCCAGATCGCAAAGGGAGACAGTGTTAATCAGTAAGATGGAAGGAATGGGAATGGAAACTCAAAATTGGCTGGTGGAACAGACCAGAACTCCGCTAATGAAGACCACCAAACGCATCGACCACGTCAGAAACAATAAAGAAGAAGTGGTAATCTATGAATGCCCTAAAGAACTGACGTCGAAACAGGAAGAGATCCACCAAAAGCATGCAATTCTGTTCACTTTCTCCAAAAAAAGCCAGGAACTGGACAGACAGGCCAAACTAAATAAAATGGATATGGGAAAAGTTAAAGAGTTTGGAACCAATCCAGGGGCAGGAACCCAAAGTTTCGTTTCATCCGAGATCCAGGAATGTCATCATGGTATTGTGCATGGAGGAGCAATTGGCGTCCTTCCTGCAGAACAAATGTTTCACCTGCAATTCGTCAGTCGTCACAGTGCTCCCGTGGAAAAAAGCAGCAAACATCCAACAAACTCCATTCAGGTACAGACAGGAGTTAATCAAAAATCATTTCTGGATTCAATTCGATAATGTCCCAGAAGGAATGCATGGAAGTATTAAGGAGAGGGTAAGAATGGAATATGACCACTTCACACAAACGCACTGGATAGTTTCGACGCCAGACTTCCTTACTCCCCACCACAATCAGATGAGAGCAGTGCTGGAGACAGGAGACAGCCCGCTGCCGTTTGTACCAGATGAATGGTTCTTTTCGCAGGAAGGCAAAGTAATTAGGATAACGGTGTCCAGTAAATCTAATCCGGTATGTTTTAAGTGCAAACACAGAGGCCACTTGGGTACTGACACCAGCTGTCCGAAAACAAGGGAGAGCGCAAAGCCGAAGGCCCTCAAAACCTGCAGGAAGTACCGAACAAGCAAGGCTACTGGTTCGTTCCAGAGGCACAATACGCGGGTTGGGTGTTCAACGACAATCTGGATTCACCAGACTGGGTATGGACCATAGCGGGTGAACCGACCCCCAGACCAGAAGTCTATCCGCCGTATGACAGCAGGTGGCAAGCGCTGAAAACAGAAAAGAAAGCACCCAAGTGCTTCACCGGGGACCCAGTCATCAACGTGGAGGCCCTGAAACAGGAAATGTGGGAGAAGGACCTTTGCGCTGATCTGCAAACAATTCAAGAAACAACGGAAAGGGAGTGGGTAGAAGCAGTCAAGAGATATTAGGAGGAGGAAAGGTCAAAAGGGGAACTCCCTAAACAAAGAACTTACTGCAGAAGGGGAAAGAGAGGGCAGCAAAAGTCTGAGTCGGAACAAACAGCGGAAAAGGAGGGGACGGATGAGTCCATGGAGGAGGTTGAGAAGGCAGCAGTCCAGGGGGAACCCGGGGGGGGAGAGAAACCCAGCGTGGGGGAAAAGAGAAAGCACACGGAGGGGCAAAGGGACAAAGATGATTCAGATGATGAACAAGGGCAAACGTGGAAGGAAGGTTACCCATGGTCTGGTCAGCAGGAAACGGAACTGTTGGCCTACATTCAGAGCTACGAAAAGGTGAGACAAGAAAATTTTGAATTACAATTAATCCTGCACAAAGAAGAACAAAAGAATAAGTTGAAGACAGCAGCACCGAACACATCCCAACTGATTCCGCTATCGGAGAACCCCTTCGCGCCTCTTGAGAGGGAAGAAGAGCTGTCAGCGTTCTTGGCCGGAAAATACTGTGAATCTAAAGAGGATCAAATAATGGAAGCAGCAGAGAAAGGGGGGAACGAAACGAATGAGAAGAAGCAAAGGGCGGGGAAGAAATTGCAGAAGTACAAACCCGCACAGATTCTGCTGGAACAGACAGATCAGCCTGGGAGAGAGAAGAGCGAGGTGAAAGAGGACTTGAACAAAGGCCTAACAAGGGAGATGCAACT